CCTACAACCCCTTTCACTGGTTGGATATGACATCATATCACAGAAGCTGTAGTCACATGTATTCTGTCATGACAGCTAACCTCAGTTGTCATCTTGATTGTATAGAGAGATACATAGAAAGCTGGAAAAGCACACTTCTACGTGTGTCTGAAAGTGCTTCCAGAGACAACCGGCATGGGGCACAGCAAACTGAGGGGAAGACTGGCCCTGAGCCTGAGCAGCAGCAGCCAATAGGCTGAGGGGCTGGGTGGGAAAAAAGCAGGATGGGAAGCTCGAATGCTCACCGATGCTCAACCTTCACAAGCAGATGCCTTTTTGCCGCTGCCGTTGCCCATGGATATCAGACTCCAGGTTCTTCAGCATTTGAACAGAGACCTGCACCAGCATCTCTCCAAGGTCCACATGGCCTTCAGGTGAGGACTAGGCCTGCATCATTGCATCTTATTCTGCTGATTCTGGCTTCTTGGACTGAGCAGTGACTAATTCCCCCAACTCTCCAGTCTGCAGAAGCCCATCTTAGTACTCCTCACCCCTGCCTGTATAAGTTAATTGGGTAAATTCCCCCTTATAATTATGGATGTTCTATTCCTCTGGAAAATCTCAATACATCTGTTAAACTGGCTTTAAGGCAAATGCATAAAAACTATAACTTAGATTCTAAGTGATTTGAAATCACAGGTTGGATTGTTACATAGCTTGAAAACAATTTTAAACACCTAATTTCTACATGAATAACATGCTTTACTGTGATAAGAGCTTGAAACCTACTCTAACTCCCCTCAGAAATAGGATGGCACACCCTATCAAACCTTATATGTGACCTACTGACCTCAACTCCTGAGCTACAAAATACACATAAGCTCAAGAACTTGACAGACCCTTTGAGAGCTTAGGCCACATCAGGGCTGTAGTCAGAGGGAACACCCAGCACAGGGCTGTGACAATGCCTCAGTCTGTTATCCTTCAGCCTAGCTCCTCTGAAAGTCTGCAGGCCAGCATGGGCACCTCCCACTGGTGCTGAAGGACACATGTCAAGGGCAGATTCATTTTTGGACCCCATCTCCCCAGAGAATCACTTGTATAAAAAATACACCTCCAACTTTAATTAGACTTTACTTTCTTCAGAGGCCTGATTGAGCAGCTAGACTAATGATTCTGAAACCCACTATGGGGTTAATGTACTTCCTTTATTCTCGTGAGGCTTATTCTTTTTACTCTTCTCCTCTTTCAGTGCTGTAAATTAAGGAAAAACACCTTCTTGTGTGGTTAAAAAAATGAATGATGTGTGAAATCATACTTCAATCTTATCTGAGCCACACAACACAACTGGAAACAGGTCTAACCCTATCTGAGCCTCCAGACGTGGATGTAGGTGACTGACACCTTGATTATAGCCTGGTGAGACCTTAAGAAGAAAACCAACCCATGACCTGTGAGTTAATTAAATAGTATTGTTTAGGCCATCCAGTGAGTGATGATTCCTTATATAACAACAGAAAACTAGAAGAACTAAGAGAATAATGCAATGATTAAATTAATCCAAAAACTAGCTTCAGGTTCCATGTTCTTCAAATCAGATTTCTCTCTTACTGTTCACCTATTTTCAGGCCCAGTGCTACAGGACATTTAACACTGTAGAAGACTGAAACTACATCCTGTCTATGTTAGTCAGTGCTTACTAGAGAAATAGATTTAATGCAAGATATAAAAATATATAAGAATTTACAAAATTGGCTTTCAGTGGCCACTCAAAGAGTCAGATGTGGAAGAGTGCACAAGGTCTGCGCACTAGGGATCCAACTGCACACAAAATAAAAGCAAGAATCATCAAATGAGGCTACATAAAATAAAAAATTTCTGCATAACAAGGAACACAACTAACAGAATGAAGATACAGTCTACAGAACAGGAGTATCTTTGCCAGCTAGTCTACCACAAGGAGTAATACCTAGAATATATAAAAAACTAAAAATTTAACATAAAAAATCAAAGAGGCTGATCAATAAATGGTCAAATTCAACAGACATTTCTCAAAAAAAGAAGCACAAATGGCCAGTAACTATATGAAAAATATTCACCATCTTTAGTGAGTAGGGAAATTCAAATCAAAACTACCTAGAGATTTCATCTCACCACAGACAGAATGGCTATTTTCAAGAATAAAAAAACAATAAATGCTGGTGAGGAGGCACAAATAAAAATATACCCTTCTACACTATTGGTAAGACTATAAGTTAGTAGAGCTGCTCAGGAAATCAGTATGGACTTTTCCTCAAAAAACTAAAAGTAGAGCTATCATGTGATCCATCTATACCCAAAGCAATTAAAGACAGCATACTCTAATGGTATCTGCATATCTGTGTTTGTTTAGGCTCAATTCTTGATAGCCAAGATATGGAACCAGTATAGGTGCCTATTGACAGATGTATGAATGAAGAAAACAAATATATATATCTGAAGAAATTCTATGATTTATAGGAAAATGGATGGATCTGGAGACCATCACATTTTTTTTTTTTTTTTTTGTCTTTTTTTGGTTTTTCTCCGGTACCAGGAACCGAACTCATGACCTTGCACTTGCCAGGCAAGGGGCTTTGCCGCTGAGCTAAATCCCCAGCCCTGGAGACCATCACACTGAACAAAATAAGACAGACTTAAATAAATATGGCATGCTATCCCTAATATTTGGAACCCAAATGATAAGAGGACAGTAATAAGGAACAGCAGAAGGGGTACAAAGGCAAGTAATGAGGAAATGCATATAAGCAAAATATATGCATTGAAACCCCAAAAATGTGAAATTAAGGGGAAGGGTAGAGCAAGAAGGTGATGAGGGATGAAAAAGATCAAAATATGTTATGTGCATATACAAATCTGCCAAAATAAAACCAGCTAATCTGCAGATCCAATGAAAAAGTGGAAAGAAAAAAATCAAGTCCTCAATTTTGTTCAGTGCCAAATAAATTACCAATCCATGTGCAAGCCAAAAAGAAAAAAAAAAGACAAATATGGATGTTTGCTTACACTTCTTAGAAGTATTTCACTGTATATACCATGAGAATTACATCTTTATCCATTTGTACATTTAACTGCTTCATGCAAGAAGGCCAATAGTTATAGCCTTAAATTCCTAAGTGAAGCCACAAGATATTGAGAAGACTGGAATACTGTCTCCCTAGATACATCCAAGAGGTGAAAAGCCAGGCCTTACAGATTTCTCTGGATTGCCTTTCTAATTTTAAAAAGTGACCCTTTTTCTGAAGTTATACCATATTTAATAATATACTATGAAAATAAATGTGCCCAAGTAACTCTGTTTTCATTACTGACCTCCTACTACTCTGTTTCCATTACTAAACCCCATTGGAGGGGCTCTAAACATGTGTTTGGTCATACTGTCCTTCTCTTCCTAGGGACACCTGTTTGTTTAAGACAGGGGGTCTCTCCATTTCTGCATGCTCTGTCGTCATTGAAGGTGTATTAAAAGTCTTCTTAAAGGTTGGCAACTTTCTCCCCTATAAGTGTAGGAATTTGCCCCTAAAGGTGCTTCCCTCACTGAGCAGCTAAACAATAATTACTTTAGAGGGGAAATTCAGAGTAAGGGACAATGGAGACCACTACAAAGCAGTTCTGTGCAGGACTTAAATTAACCAATTGGCTTTCCATGTTTACTTGTAAGTTACTGGTCACTACTGAGGCCTGTAATGGTGGATGAAGGCACGAAGCTTCAAAGGACAAGACAAGGCCACAGCTGAGGACTTTTGGCTCCAACCCCACTTAACTAAAAGGAGACTATAGCTGCAGGCATCTCACTCCTGCAGTGAAGGACTTCCTGGAGGTAACATAGTTCTCTTAAATTAACAGAAAGTACTTCTTGGAAAGTTCTTAAAGGGATTTTCAAGTCCGGCCCAGATTCCTGCATTTTCTTCAGTACTGTGCTCCCCTCTTTGAAAACCTAATAAATACAGGCCACCCAGAGAAGTTCTTTGTCTAAAACCCCAGAATCTCCATTTCTGTGAGAGGGTTTGGAAACTCCCAGAGCCCTAAAATAATTTCAATTGTCTCATTTATTTAAGCCTTCACTGTCCACTGTTTGGGAGACTGTGGGTCTGATTAGCCAGCAATAACTAAGGGATATTACTAACGTGATATAAGGAGCTTCAAGATTGCCTGGGCAGAAGGGGTGTTGGATTTTGACTGGGCATAGCAGGATATGGCAGAATGGAAATAACTGTATGGAAATGAGTCATGTTAATATCTGTAGGAAGAGGAGTTCAAATTCAAATGTCTTAATTACTTTATTGTTGCTTAAACAAAACACCCAACACCCACAATTTAAAAGAGAAGTTTATTTTGGTTCACCTTTTGAAGAGGTTATTACTCCATAGTAGGTTGGCCCCAACGCAGTGCACAGCATGGCAGAAGGGTACAGCAGAGGAGAAAGAGTCCATGGCAGGGCGGGCAGGAAGCAGCAGCCTTCCTTCTGCTTTCCCTTTTTTATTCCATTCAGGCTACAAGCCTATTAGTTGGTGCCACTCACATCAAGGGTGAGTCTTCCATTTTCAGTAAATTCATTTAGGCACACCCTGACTATACTAAACTAATCAGTGGGCTGATCCAGCATCACACACCAATAATCTAGTCACTCCCAAAAGCTCCCCCCTATGTGTGCATGAGGCTTTGAGGGGACATCTAGGTATAAGCCATAACACCAAGGAATAGCAATCCAAAGGCCTTAAGACAGAAGAGCATGAACAGTTCCCTGAAAACTAGCCAGGGACAGCACACCTGAGTGGGCAAAAAGGAAATGGTAGGAAGTGAACCCACAGAGACAACAGGCAGCTACATTGTACAGGGCTCCCTAGGCCTCTGGGGTGACTTTAGTGTCACTGACAGAAGAGGTACTGTAAAAGCCCCACCACAGACATCAAAGGTTCTAGTTTAATTCCCAGTTCCCACCCCTGCCATGGGGTTAGATCTTCATGTTTACCATTTCTGGAATGTATGGTTGTAAAGTGGTTGTAAATGCCCTGGAGGAACCTAATTGGGATTATAATACTGAAGAGGGAATGAAGGCGCTCAGAGACCACCACCAGTCCCTGAGAAAGGGGCTTCTGGCTGCTGCACACCGCTCTACTAACTTACATAAGGTAGCGGAGGTTTATCAGGGACCGAATGAGAGTCCTGTGGCATTTCTCGAGCGTCTCATGGAAGCCTACCATATGTACATCCCGTTTGATCCAGAAGCACCTGAGCATGCCCGAACTCTCAATTTAGCTTTTGCAGCTCAGTTGGCCCCGGATATACGCGGAAAGTTACAAAGATTAGAAGGATTTGCAGGAAAGAATTTGACAGAACTAATGGAAATTGCCCAAAAAGTGTTTCACAATTAGAGGATGCAGAATGGAAGTATAGACAGGAAAAAAGGAAGGTAATGTCAGCTACATGTAAGAAGGAGGTGCAGATTAGATACAATTGACAAGGGAGGTAAAGCCGGATCCAAAAGGGAAAGCCACCGCCCCCACTTGGATCCAGATCAGTGTGGCTATTGTAAAGAAAAGGGTCATTTTAAGAGAGAGTGTCCAGTACTGATTGGTAAAGAGAGAAAAGAGGAAAAGAATGTGTTTGTGATGGATGTGGTGGATGGGTAAGATTGACGCGGGCAGGGGTCCCTGTTTCTCGGCCCAGGGGAACCCATGCTAACAGCAAAAATTGAGGGAAAGCCTGTAAATTTTCTGGTTGACACAGGAGCTGACCTGTCTGTGGTGACCCGACCAGTTGCCCCCCTCCTGGACCAGACTATATAAGTTCAGGGAGCAACTAGTCAGTCTTCCTCATACTCTTTCTGCGAACCACGACAGGTACAATTAGGAAAACATGTAGTGAGTCACTCGTTTCTATTGATGCCAGACTGTCCTTTCCCTCTGCTGGGCCGAGACCTTCTCTGAAAGCTACGTGCACAAATCTCTTTTTCCCCCAAGGGAATTACAGTGGCCACAGGTGTAAATAGCCCCCAGGAAGCTCATGTCTTAACTGTTTCCTTTCCCCTTCAAGAAGAGTATCGCCTAGCCGATGTGAACGTGGAGCAACTTGAGACGCCTCAGACTCTTCCCGAATGGACTGAACGGTTTCTTGCAGTTTGGGCAGAGGACACCCCCCCCCCCCGGCCTGGCTGCACATGTCCCTCCTGTAATTGCGGAACTGGTGGGACATGCCAGGCCAGTCCAACTGAGACAATATCCTATGGCTATGGAAGCCAGGAAAGGCATCAAGCCCCATATTCAGAGATTCCTTTCAGCAGGGATACTGAGAGAATGCCAGTCTCCCTGGAACACCCCCTTCCTCCCAGTTCATAAGCCAGGGTCAAATGAATATCGACCTGTCCAAGATTTGAGGGCTGTGAATGCCCTAACTGTGACTTTACACCCCACTGTACCTAACCCTTATACTTTGTTGAGTTGCTCCCACCTAATCGAGTATGGTATACTGCATTGGACCTGAAAGATGCTTTCTTTTGTATTCCTCTGTCTATTGTTTCTCAGGATTTATTTGTCTTTGAATGGGAGGATCCTGAGGGGGGACGCAAATGCCAGCTGACATGGACACGATTACCTCAAGGATTCAAGAACTCACCCACCATCTTTGGGGAGGCACTGTCAAAGGACCTGGTACCCTTTGGTGAAAATAACCCCAATGTCTCCCTTCTACAATATGTAGAAGACTTGTTGCTAGCTGCAGAAACTCAGGAGGCGTGTGAGGATGGGACAAAGAGGCTGTTAGAACTACTACAGGATAAGGGATATCGAGTCTAAGAAAAAAGCTCAGGTATGTGTTCAAACTGTAAAGTTCCTGGGGTTCACATTGAAAGCGGGAACCCATTCTCTCTCAGCCTCTCAGACCCAGGCTATCCAGGGGCTGAAGGAGCCAAGGAACCGAAAGGAGTTATGAGAATTCTTGGGAACGGTGGGGTACTGCCATCTATGGGAACCAAACTTTGCTACTATTGCCAAACCCCTATATGAAGCCTTGAAAGGGAAAAATAACCTCCCCTTGGACTGGAACTCAGAACGGAAAAAGGCATTTGATGACTTAAAGAGGGAGCTGCTGAGTGCTCCTGCTTTGGCTTTGCCAGACATTACAAAGCCCTTTCAGTTGTGCATACACGAGAGGGAAGGGATTGCAAGGGGAGTTCTGACTCAGAGTTTAGGGCCGTGGAGGTGCCCAGTGGCATATTTGTTGAAAAGACTGGACTATGTGGCAGCTGGATGGCCAACCTGTTTGCGAGCTGTCACAGCTGCTGCTGTCCTGGTAAAGAAAGCTGATAAATTAACCTTGGGACAGAAGTTGAGTGTGTTTGTGCCCCATGCAGTGGAGACCCTACTGCGCGGCTCTGGAGGGAAGTGGCTTTCTGGTACCAGGCTGGCCCAGTACCAGGGGACACTCCTCGAGGACTCTCACCTAACTCTTAAGACTATACAGGCTATTAATGCTGCCTCCCTCCTGCCGGCCTCACTGGAAGCGCCAGAACATGACTGTGTAGAAAACATTGAGACTGTGTATTCCACAAGACCAGACCTGCAGGACACTCCCCTTCCGAACCCTGATTTCACTCTGTTTGGGGATGGAAGCAGTATGGTAATAGATGGGATTCGGAGGGCAGGAGCGGCTGTTGTGACGACGGAACAAACTCTCCGGTCAGGGGCTCTACCCCCAGGGACATCAGCCCAGAAAGCTGAGTTGGTAGCGCTCACTTGGGCCTTGGAACTAGGGAAAGAGACGACTGCATATGTTCATAGATTCACGATATGTGTTTGCCACTTTACATGTTCATGGTGCTATTTACTGGGAGAGAGGACTCCGGACTGCAGGGGGAAAAATATTAAAAATACGTCAGAAATTTTAAACTTGTTGCATGCTGTATGGTGGCCCACTCAGGTGGCGGTAGTACACTGCCCTGGGCATCAAAAAGGAAATAGGATGGAAGCGAGAGGTAATAGAGCTGCTGACCTGGCAGCAAAGCGGGCTGCTATGGGAGATTTGTTGCCCGAGGCACGAATCTTGGTGGCGCCACTCCTACAACCGCCCAAGTATTCCGATGCCGAGCTAGCTTGGTCCAAATCAGAGGGCGCAATAAAAAAAAATGGGTGGCAGGTACTGCCCGGAAAGAAGGTGTTCCTACCAGAGCACTTGGGACATTTCGTAATTCAAGAATTACACAGCAAAACCTATTTAGGCAAGACAGCCATGGCAGAATTGCTTGGATGTTACCTTTACATATCCAGACTCTGGACTCTGTGTGCTGCAGTAGCCTATCTTTCTAAGCACCTAGACCACACAGCTGCTGGGTGGCCCAATTGCTTACGGACCCTCGGACCCTCGCCACTGCTCCTACTCTTATCAAGGAAACAACTAAGCTAACTTTTGGTCAGCAACTTTATGTGGTTACCTCCCACTCCCTTGAGCCTCTTTTAAACAGCCCCCCTCCAAAGATGGTTATCAAATGCCAGGATCGGCCAGTATGTTGCTGGGTCCAGATCGAATTCGTTTCCTGCCTGCAACTTCCCTCAACCCTGCCACGCTGCTTCCTGACAATAATCCTGATGGACCAACTCATGAATGCCTTGACGTTCTCCAGACCGTCACTAACTTCAGACCAGACCTGACCAATGTGCCCTTGTCCCAAGTGGATGCCACACTCTTCACAGACAGAAGCAGCTATCTCCATGAAGTTACTCGAGTGTCGGGGGTGGCGGTCACTACTGAAACTGAGGTAATTTGGTCAGAGCCCCTAGGAGCTCACACCTCTGCACAAAAGGCCGAACTTGTAGCCTTGACTCAGGCCCTAAAATGGGCCAAGGAGAAGACTGTCAATATCTATACGGACAGTAGATATGCCTTTGCCACTCTACATGTCCACGGGGCCATTTATAAAGAACGAGACCTGTTAACCTCGGAGGGAAAAGCCATAAAAAAGCCTCTTAAATTTTGGACTTGCTAGTGACTATTTGGGAGCCCAAGAGGCTTGCAGTAATACATTGCAAGGCCCACCAAAAGGAAGACAACCCAATAGCCCAAGGGAACCAATTGGCAGACTCTACTGCCAAACAGATCGGGCTAAAATCAGTGGGGTCCACTGCGTTGGCTGTGGTTACTCTCCCCACACCTCGGCTGGACACCCCAGTTTATTCTGATTCAGACATAAAGTTAGCAGCAACCCTGAGATCCCAAGCTAATGCTGAAGGATGGCACATCGTCCCCAATGGTCGTTTTCTCCTGCCAGAAACACTTGGGGCCCAGATACTACAAGAGACTCATCAAGCCATGCATTTAGGGGGAACTAAACTTGCTCAATTGCTCTGGAAAACTTACTTTATTCGTAATCTTACAGCCAAAGCCAAGGACATTAGTCTAAGATGCCCCCACTGTGCTCAAGTAAATCCCAAGGGCAAATCATCTGGTGGTCCCCCTCAACAACGACAGAGAGGACAAAATCCAGGAGAACATTGGGAGATAAATTTCACTGAGATGGGTCCTGGACGCCATGGATACAAATATCTACTGGTCCTACTGGATACTTTTACGGGATGGCCTCAGGCCTTTCCTACAAGGACTGAATCAGCTTTGATTGTAACCAAGAAATTGCTGTCTGAGATTGTGCCTCGATTTGGTCTGCCTTTAGTAATGGGGTCCGATAATGGTCCTGCTTTCATAGCTCAGATAACCCAAAATTTAGCTAAGTGTTTACAGGTTGATTGGAAGCTCCACTGTGCCTACCGGCCTCAAAGTTCTGGACAGGTAGAACTGTCCAAGAATAGAACCATCAATGACACAGTTCTATTCTATGAATAGAACCATCAATGACACAGTTTCCAAGATGGCTCTGGAGTCTGGCTAAAACTGGGTGAGTCTCCTACCTTTTGCCCTCCTGCGTGCTCCATGCACCCCCTACATCCAGGGTATTACCCCCTTCGAGACTATATATGGGAGAACCCCCCTCCAGTACCCAAGCTCCATAGTGTCCATTCTGAAACCATACATAACCAAGATCTCATTAAGTCCCTGCAGGTTCTACAGCCAGTGCTTCAAGAGGCTCATTGCCTCTTCAGAAAACATCATCAACCGAACACTGACCAACTGGACTCCCCACCCATCGCAAAGCCCTCTGAATCAAGGATTTGATTCCCTCCTAAAATCAGTGGGGAATGTAAAAGCCCCACCACAGACATCAAAGGTTCTAGTTTTGAAAGGTCTTCATAATTTCTTTGTAATCCCTGTGGCGCCACCTATTGGAGACTATGTGCCATGGCCAATATGGCACTGACCCTTAGAGGCCATGTGCTAAGCCCCACCCTTTTTCCCCAGAGTCAAATTAGGACTTCCTACTCCCCTTTATGTAATATCCTGTTTCATTTTCCCATGCTCACACCCAATGCTAGCCTGCTACGTCAGCTAGCCCACTCCCTAAACCCCGCCTCTAGCCTGACCATATGTAACCTTTGTGCTCCTTTGTCCACCCCAGAAGACTCGCTCCCTTTGTCCCCGCCCCACTCCTACCCCTCCTCCCAGCAGTCTTCTCCCTGCCCTTAAACAATAAGTGTTTTAGGGGCTGGGGATTTAGCTCAGCGGCAAAGCGCCTGCCTGGCAAGCGCAAGGTCGTGGATTCGGTTCCCGGTACCAGAGAAAAACCAAAAAAAAAAAAAAAAGTGTTTTATTGTTTTATTACTCTCTCTGCGCTGCCGGCAGGACACCTTTTAAATTTAATTCCCAGTTCCCACCCCTGCCGTAGGGTTAGATCTTCATGTTTACCATTTCTGGAATGTATGGTTGTAAACTGGTTGTAAACGCCCTGCCCTTCCTGGACTCCCAAAATGTATTGTTCTCCCCGTAAATGCTCTACCCCTCCCGGATTCTCAGAATGTACTGTTCCTGCCATAAAAAATCCCCTCATTGTTACAAATGTGACATATGTTTGCCAAACAGGATGCGGTTTTAGGGTTTAAAAGCTACTCTCGTCCCTGGATCAGGACTGGTCTGATCCTTCCCCGCGGGGAGGCTCTCAGTCAGTCCCTGGCCAGGAACAAAGGCTCGTCCTAAATTCCAATTGGTGGTCCGTGCGTCTTGGTGTTTGTCGGTCGGTACCATTTGGTTCATTTCTGGTTGCGAGTCCAGAACACACTCTGCAGAGTGAGAGCAGGCCAGTGAACAGACTCACATGACCACCAACCTCCTCCTCAGGGACAATACTTTCTACAAATCTGATAAATCACAAGGAGAACACCTTGCCTATTTTGGATCCTGAAATTTTGATCCCAGTCCCAAAGGCAAAGACAAGCTGCTGGAGAGGCAGGGAAGAACTTGCAAAGGTGGGCAGGAGGTCTTTTCTCTCTCAGTCCCCAGTGTGGTCCTGGATCACAGGTTGCCCTGAGCCTATCCAGAAGCCCAGCGAGAGACTGAAGTTTTAAAGTGAATTAGGCTGCATTTTAAAAACTCTTGAAAGTGAACCAATATTTCATGGCAGTATGCAGGGCTGGCTCTGTCTTTCTTAAGGCACACTTTTGGGCTGCTCAGGCATCCTTGAAGATGTTCAGCCTGGGGGTTGGGAGAGGCAGGCAGGGGTAACCCTTGAACTTGGCAGGTTCAGCTCACCTCAGTGTGGTCCTGCCACACACTTGGTCTCCTACTCCTGTTTCTGCAGTGGCTGGAGGGTGTGTAGGATGAGGTTGGAGCCCTGGCGCTTCTAACCACCGCTTTCTGTCTCAACCAACTGGCACTCATAGCTTACGGTCTCACTTCCTGGGCAGGGGAAGCTGAGGACTGATGTAGGCTGAGAAACCTCTGTTTCCTCTGAGCAGAAACAAGAATCAGACAGAGAAGCAGACAGAAGAGGTAAAAGGAAAGAGTTGAGACAGGATGAAACCTGTCCCCCACATTGGCAAGAGGGTGACTGGTGACCCTAGGTTGAAGAAAGTATGGAACCAAGTGTTTGCACATAGGCAGAGGATCCAATAGCCACCCCCTGCCCATTCACAGGACTGCAGGCATAAATGATCATCCACTTTGTGGATAAGATTGGCATTCAGAAATGCTACCCTGTGGATGGCCACAACTGTGAATTGAGGAAACCCTGCCAAAGCAAAAGATAGCTAGGGCTTCATCTGGCCAAATAGGTAAAATGGTTCCAAAAATTTTGGTGATGATCAGGGAGGTGGTTTTGGACAATGACACTTTTGGTCATGGAAGCAGTTTAAGTGGTCATGGTGGTGAAGTAGAGGTGAAGGCAATGGTAATAACTACAGTGGATTTGGTAATAACGGAAGTAGTTTTGGAGGTGGTGGAAGTTACAATGATTTTGTCATTACAACAATGAAGCTTCCACCAGGGATATAGTTCAGTGGTGCAGCATCTGCCTGGCAAGCACAAGGTTATGAGTTCGAGTCCAGGTACCATCTCAGGAGAGAAATTGAAAACTACTGCTTAGATGTCTGTGAGGCAGCTGTTGCTCCATCCCCACCCACTCAGGCTCAGTCAGACACATAGGATAGGAGGAGGCTCCTTGGCAGCACCAGCCACACTGGCGCCATTGTATGCAGCAACAGCACCATGGCGTCATTGCTGGTGACGTAGACCAGGACATCAGAGAAGCTCCTGCCATGATATATCAGTAGCTTATTGTACATGAGCTAAGTTACCTGGTTACTTCCTCCCATTGTGTTTAAACCTGGGCATCCTAGTCCTGTCAGTGATGTCTAACCTTTTAGAGCTTTCAGTGACACAAACAACCTACTGAGGCATGTATGCCATAGGTTCACCACCTCTGGTAGGATAATTTTAGCTCAGAAGGTGGCACTAGTCCTGGAAAGCAGGACTAGATCCAAGGTGGGCCTTCTTTCCTTTCTCCAGCAGTTTCCTTAGCTACCTCCTGCCTCAATACTGAATAAGTATACTGAATACTGATGTCTGTGATCATTAATTGTGATATATCAACTTGATGAGTAGTAACTGCCCAGAAGAATAGTAAATTCTGGGTGTGTCTGTGGATGATTGACAGGTAGGCCAGCAAACTGAGGAGGAAGAACCAACCTGATGTGGGTGGCACCAATAGGATTGTAACTTGGGCAGAATAGAAAAGGAAAAAAGCATTACTCTTTTTTGGAGGAGGCCTGGTCTTTGGCATCACCTTTGGGTGTTGGTCTCCAGTTTCTTTACCCTTCCAGCACAGACTCCTCAGCCTCCAGTGCTCCTCAGGGAGCATCCAGGCCTTCAACCTTCCACTCCAGCTGGATCCTCTGGCTCTCCAACATGCACACAGTCATTTTGGATCCATCCACTCCTGATCCTGAGTCATTGTGACTTCCACTTCCGATTCTGTACACCTGCCTCACAAATCCCTTGTATAATTAGACATATAGTTTATACTGATTATGTTCCTCTAGAAAACCCCAACTAATACAATGTCTTTTTTTAAATTAAATTTTTAAAAGCAAGCATTTTGGACCACACATTCGTGGTAAGGGAACCTAGACAACATTTATCAAAAACAGTAGGAAAAGCTCTCTTATAGAAAAGGACTGCCAGGTAGCAACTGTTGCAGAAAGGAAATACGATGGAAAAGTTTAGCAAACTGTTAAAACTGTTTTCTTAAAGGCCAGAGATCTTGAATAACCACCTAGTCAGTCATGTAGACAATTTTTCACGTAATTGGTATATTTGGCTTTCACTTTGGGAAGAGAACCAACTTTGTTCATACTTGCTTGCAGTTATGCTATCATGCTTTCTGCAGAATCAGGCCCTTTCTGTTTCGGAGGGGTTTCCCCCTACTTTTTTGTAGTTGATCTTTTGATGTGGATGTTGATGGTTTCAAGTCTATTCTATCTGGTTTGATTTTCATGAATTTTTGGCTGGAAATCTTGTATACATTTCCTTGCTGAGGCTTTTTCTTTAGTCTCTTCAGCAGCAGCAAGTTTTACTTCTTCCTATGGAACCTTGCTGCTACTTCCAGGGGAGAACGGCTTTCCAGGTTCTAGAATTTCACATTCTGCTGTTCTTCATCTTCTCCTCTGCATCCCTCCACAGCTAAGCACTGTTCATAACATTCATGGGCTCTGAAACTCACTTCAACCTGAAGAACACAGGTGGCTTTATTTCAAAGCGCCCCCACCAAGGGAAACTTTTAGCTTTGTAGACATTGTCAAAGCTGTCAACGTTGCTTTAACTGGACAGCCTGCGTAATCCATTGCCTCTGCTTCAGAAATGTGCAGTTCATCCCTAACCCGGCCATTCTTAAAAATAACCAGTACTCCTCCTCACTGTTGTCTAACTTAAAGTGATCATCTTTGTCAGCCTTTATTTCACAACCAGAAAGATAGTTCTGGGGCTTCAGAGAACTCTTGTACAAAGTCCACTGAAACCTCCTTTAGGTGTACTTGTGAGAATGAATAAAATCATTTAAGAGGAAAGAGTTTGAAAGGGTAGAGTAGCGGAGTGGAGAAAGTGGGGTTAGGAGAAAAGATAGACATGGGAAGAAAGTAGACAGTAAAAGAGGCAGGGAAGAGAAGGGGAGAGAAAGTTGGTGGAAGGGGGACAGAAGAAAGAAGCTCATAACCTCTAGCGAGTCTGCTCACACAGCAGAGGGTGCTTGGAGGGGGCATGGGAAAGGCAAGAGAATTCAAAGTGACTTTTGTGTTTAATATTTCTTTTCTTATGTCTTAATAAGTCCTCTATTTTGCATAGTTGCTGAACATCGGTGTGACAAAACTGTTTTTCAATTGGACTTCAACAGACTGGTTTGCTGTGAGCAGTTTCCATATGCAGAGGAGGGTATATATGCACACGCCCAGCTGCTTCTTGGCTATTTCTGTGCAGATCTGCTCAGCAGAATTCTCCAGAATATTTCACTGCCTGTGTTCATTTGCTGCTACTGCTGCTGGTAGAAGCCAGGAAGGATGCCTGTGAGTGTCCTGGAATGGCAAGAACTAGCCGGGGAGGGGAGGAGAGATTGGGGCTTTGTGCAGGTTAACAAGTGGGTAGCTCTTCGTAAGGATGGGGTAACAATGTGATTTCACTGGAACGGTTTCTAGGGGTCTGATACCCAGTTCACGGGAGTCCCGGCCTACGACACTAGCTAGGTACTATATGCATGTGTGGCAGCTCCCCTCTAAGGCTGAGTTCACCATCCATTCCAGGAAACATTTCCCGAACCCCCAGGAACTGTGATGAATTTGGTATGTGTCCTATGATGCCTCATTTTCCTTCCTGTTGAAATTGCTCCCTGTTCAATTAGATTCTAAGTCACAATTGTCTTGTATTTTTTATATCCAGAGCTTGGCAGAAGTCACTAAAAGTACTTGTGAGATGAATTCTCCTGGAGCAGTCCAGGTAACGTCAGAGTATCTAAGTACCTCAGACACATGGAGGTGGCACAAAGTGAAGGGTCCAAAAGACTGAGGGAGTCTGGAAAAGGGTTTCTTCTTTCTACTAGCCTGGCCCTTTCAGGGTCACAACAATGTAGGTCTTCATGGCTCTCCCCTCCCTGCCCTGGACCTGACTTTCATGTTTCTTGCACAGATGCTAACTCTGTCTGCCTCCACTTCACTGTTAAATCTCTTTTTAAACCTTCACAGCCCTGGTGTGAAGTGCAGAGCTCAATAAATAAGACTTTTTTCCTTCAGTATGACGTGACAGTAACAAGGTAAAACCTTTGAGTCTTCTGAGAGTGAAGGTAAATAGCCCCAAAGCATGGACAGAATTGCATCAAACAGTAGGAGAAACAGGGCAAAACCTCAGGATGATCTTGCTTGACATCAAACTTGAGAAAAACAAGATCAGGGTAACTATGAGGCAGGGTGGGGAGACAGTGACAGTCAGGGAGAGGAAGGGGCAGAGCCCATGTAGACAGGGGGCCCTGATATATTTGTGTAAAAGAGCTGAACATTGGCCCAATCTTAGAGACACATAGGAATGTGGGGCAAGAAAGGGCTGGTCAGGAATGAAAGTTTCCTAAATATGCAGAGAAACTTATGAGAGGAGATGTATTTGTCAAGTGTGGAGGGCGATGGTTTTGTGTGTGGGTTGCAGGTCATGTCACTTTACAGGTCCAGATTTTTTGTCAGCATGAAGAGCAATCTATTGCTGCATCCTTGCAGTTCAGCATTAATGGGCAGTTTGATGTGAGGAATATGAACTGGATGTGATTAATCCTGGAGCCAGAGAGATCAAGGAGGAGTGGGAGAATGACCAGGAACTCATAAAGTATTTCAGGAAGATCCCATAGGAGACGGCAATCGCTCACTGAAAGACTCCTTACAGCCCTGGAGGAAGACATGCCAGGTAGTTAACTAAGTTAACTTCAATAGCAGGAAGTAACTAAGCAGGGCAGAAATGATGCGGGAGCTCTCTTTAAAAGTGTGATGACTTTCCTCTGCAGATGTCAGCATGTGTGTGTGATGGAAAATGTGGTGGGCTGAGTGATTTCTTCATGTTACTCCTGGCTGGAGAGTCCATGATAGCCACAGGATTCTTCACCAACTTCTCTCTGCCATCTAACCTCCCAGTGCTTCTCCTCAGCAAAGAAGCTCCTTTCACCATTCTCCAATGATCCAGTCACTAATGGCCTCTCACTGGTCCTCAAGACTACCCGCATCACTGTGAACTTCTAGGCCTTCTCTTCCTCTGTTATAGTTGCCCCTCAATCAGCACTTCTTATGAAGTTGTGAAGTACCGAACTTGAAGAAATTGTTTTTTATTGAACAGAATGGAATAAAAGCCTAAACCCAGCATTGTTTACTTAGCCTCCTGAATTAACTGCACTAAAAAGTAAGCAACTTGGGCTGACTTCCTTTACCAAATACCATTTTTGCCTGGGGCCTTTGCATGACGCAGTGTTCCTGCCCCAGCATGGCACCTTACCTTTTTGGATAAGGACTGTGCCATCTTTTTAGCAGCTTATGACTTGAAATGATATTATAGCCTGTCTGCTTGCTGTGTCAAGTCTGCGATATATTTTCCTAGTGGTTTTGTCTGACAATAGAAAAAAAGTTTAATTGTCTCCCCAACTCCCCTCAAAAAAAGAAATTTAGAAAGGTTAGGTGAGAGAAGGGGACAAAAGAACTGGTATCCACAGCTGTACTCACAGAAACTGGAAGGTGCTATAACTGCACACACGGATAACCCTCAAGAAGAGAATCTAATACAAAATAAATGGGATTGGTAGAGTCTCCAGATGATTGGAAAATAAAAAATCAACTCATCTATAGAATAATGTAACTTCAAACTCAGCTTTAAAGAAATCTGGCATATTCTAGAGTATACGAGGAAACAAAGCACCATGCACAAGAAAAATTAGATCAATCAGACCCGCAATTAGTCAGATATGATATCATTAGATATAAAATACATCTAATATGTTCTTTTTTAGAAAGAGTATTGATATGTGAGCAAGGAATAAGAACTATGAACAATCACATAACAGATTTGGAAAAAATCCAAGTCAGAAATTAAAATGTAAAAGCTTGGTAGATAAGGGACAAAGCTTTTGGTTTGAAATTAAAATGCAAAAATTTAATGGACAAGGGACAGGATCACTTTGGGGAAGAGGGAGGCCAGCAACCTGGAATGGCGAGGTGAGCAGGTCTAGGTACACTCCATCTGTCAGTGGAGCCTGGACACTGGAGTTTCTCTGTAAAGCTCTCGTATTTCAAAGCTACTGATACCACAGCAGAACAAGAACACGAAGTTGGTAGAAGTTCTGGTGAGCTACTGCACAGCAGAAAGTTACAGATAATCATAAGGCACTATATATTTTTTTCAAGGAAGCATACAATTACTAGCATTCCTTTTTTACTTTAAAGATAAACTAACAAAACAACAACAATGAAGACAAAATAAAAACAACAAAAACGACACATGACCTCAAAATAAAATGATAGGAATTAACAGTGGTTGCTATGTTACATACAGTTATCTTCAACGAAGCTGCTCAGTCCACCAGACATAAAAATGTAAGATTAATCAAACAAAGACAGTCACAAGTAATAAAAAAAATGGG